TGAAACTATGACCGAAACTAATTACTTTAAGCAACAAGATGGCTCGCAAATTGCATATAAAATTCTTGAACCAAGCAACCCAAAAAATATTGAAAATGAAATTCCTCTCATATTAATCATTGGATTGTAAATATTTACTGTTTCTAGAATTTTATTTTTTTATTAATCTCATAATTGTCAAATTAATAATAATTAAGGTGGAGCGTCAAAGAAGAATTTATTGGTCTAGAAGAAGGTAAATTTTTTTTAGTAAATAAAAAATTTTTTGGCCTTACGAATGACAATAAAATAGAATAAATCTTTATAAAATAAACAAATTTTATCTTAATACTGTATTTTATATGGCCAATAATTTTCTTTGAGATTACTATACCGATACATATTTAGAAATGTAACTAATTTATTAATAGATTTAGCAAAAAGTCAAAAAGGTTTGTTATATTGTTTAAATTAAATATAATATATGCCACGCTAAAATCAATTGATTAATAATCAACTTTGTTATGATGTTCTATATCTCATTTTCCTAATTCTCCCCGACTAACATTCACATTATCCTTTCATCAGTAATCATATTTGATAATCGTGGAATTGGTGAATCAAGTGTTGCTTCTTCTGATGACCCAATTTCACTTTATTTGATGGCAAAAGACACAATTGCATTGATCAAACATCTTGGAATCAAGCATTTTAATTTGTTTGGATGGTCTATGGGTGGTAATATTAAATTTCTAAATATTTGCAAAAATAAATGTTTCAAATATTGCAACAAAATTATTCTTATATAAAGAAATTTATACATTACACATAGGGTTGATCGCACTCAATGTCGCCTTGAATGTTCCATCAGATCTTAACTTAGAGAAACTGGTTATTTGTTCAACGTAATTAATTTAACCTATTTCGATTACTGTAATTTACATTATAGTTTTTTATATTAATTTATGTTCCTATGTTCCTCATATTTAATAAAGTTCGATTCAACCTCCCCCACCTTCAGCATTCTATCATATTCTATATGATTTACCAAAGCCGCCGGATCCTTTAAAGAATGTTCAAGAACAAAAAGATGAAATTATGAGAGCTTTTGAAAAGTGTTTTACTGATTATATGCTTGAACATCCTGAAATTCTTGATAAACTTGCAGAAATTCAATTTAATTCTCATCGTCCATTTGAGATTTTCAGTTAGTATACGTATTTTAATTAGGTTAAAGTTCATTTTTCAAAATGGAAATGATAATTTAATTTATTTATAGAACGACAATGGGAAGCCATTAAAGGAATTGATCTTATCTCGAAAGTACAAACAATTGAAACTCCAACTCTGCTACTTCATGGTGATTCCGACGAAATACTTCCTATTACAGAAGCTGAACTTATTGCTAGTAAAATTCCTAACATCAAATTCATTAAGCTTTCCAATGCTGGGCACATGTAAGATATTTTTATAATACAGTAAATAAAACTTATTTTTGTTTTGAAAAGGTCTTCTAAAATTTTTCACAAATTTTATTTAAAAAAAGGTTTTGGCCAATAGCTCCTAAATCTATTGTTTACATTAATGAATTTTTATCATTATCTTAATAAATTACGATACGTATATCAATTTACTATAAATAAATTTCTATTCCAGCGCTACGTATAAGTTTGGAGATCATACTTAGTCATGATGCCTAGTACAAAGCACATTATTTTTACACCATGAACTGCAACGACAGTTGTTTATTTGGATTTTTGCTTAGTTTTAATGAATGTATAGTAGTCACTTCAAATTTGTTCGAGATAAACTTAAAGATTAACTTCTTATTATATGATCTTTACCACGATTATAATTCTCTATGTTTCCCAACTTTAATTACGTAAACGTATAAAAAAAAATCCCCATCATTAAAACTTTGGTTTTTTATATGCATTTGCATAATTATTATATTTATAACGGTCTACGCTTTTCGACTATTCATACAATTGTATAACTATAGTTTCAACGATATAACGATAAGGTGCAAAAAATCGATATTAATTCAGTGGTTAGATATTTATCCATCTTTACGTATCTGGTACTATCAATACAATTCGGTCATATGCATATTTATTATTAACGCTATTTATTTATTCTTATAAAATAAACTATTATTTGTCTTTCGACTAGATGTGTTCTTAAATATTTTAAAGATAAAAAAATCTTTATCTACAAGATAAAAAAAAAAGAAAGCTTTAACATATAGATTGTAATATGAGTGTTGCCAAGTGAAATCTAAAAATTGATTAAGTTTTATAATAATCTAATCCCTGGTTTTCGCTTGGCGACACCCATATTTGAACCAAGATCTTATACTGAAATGTATGTTTTTTATTTTGTCGATACGTATGTCAAAATAAATTTATAAAAAGGCACCCATAGTATATATATTTTATATTAATTATACAGTATATTTCAGAAATAATTACGTGAAAAATGTTTTAAGATAATAATTTATAATTACATTATATAGATCAATAAAAATGTTAATTTTAACTGATAAAATATTTATTATATATCTGTTTCTATTCTATATTAGAATACTTTTCAGACTCTTGTTTACCTTTCTCGACATTAATCGTGAAAAATATTAAAACAGGCAAAAAAGATACAGCGAATAAAAACCAAAAGGGATCCCTTAAATTATGAGAATAATTTACAATTGCACCTGATATAATAGTCCCTGTTATAAGATAAATATTTTAGCTATATAATAATTTTAAGAATAAAAAATTATGAATAATGAAATTTTTTTTACCTAACCAACTGGAACCCTAATTCGTAACCAAAATTAGTTAATAATAATTTTCTACAATTATCAAGCGAAAAAAATAAAAAAATAAAAAATACCTTTGCAGTAATCTGATATAAAGAAAAAAACTCGTTTTCATGTCCTATAGGTATCATAATAGCAAAGAGAGCTCGACAATAATTAAATATTGTACCAATAGATATTCCGTACCATATCCAAAACAACCAAATCTCCCATTTGTTATTTAATCCGAATGGCAACCAATATCCTAATATCGAATATAGTGGCAATATACATGTAAATACTGAAGACATTATAACGATTGTCTTCTCACTCAAATGAAATACTTTTTGTAGATAGAGTAATAGATATACGCCTATTATTTCGAATACTGGAACTAGTGGTGTAATTAGTGTAATTTCAGCATCAGTCATTCCAAGCTGCTTTTTACCAAACAGAACACCGACTACACCTAATGTGTTTACACTATCTGATATGAGAAACCAACCAACTAGGAGTTTTATTGTTTGCCAGAGAGATCTAGTTGATAATATTATTTTTCCCACACGTTTCCATGAGTATAATATATAATTTTCTCCACTAATTAATATACAATAATTAAATATTAGTATAATATAAATAGTAATTATTGAATGGACAAGAAAAAAAAATAGATCAAATACATCGGTAAAGGAGGTTTTGGCCTATTAGTTAACCATATTGTCGGAAAAATCAATAAAATCTGAATAATTCATTTAGTTACATTTAAATACTTAATAAATAAGTTCGATAAAGTTTAATTTAATATTACCAGCCAACAAAATCCTGAAAAAGCTAATGCGACTTGAATGCCATATAACGAACTTTGTAATAATGCAAGAATTCCACCAACTGCAAACATTACTAACATTATAAAAAAAGTTGTTATAACCGATGAATGAGATGATAAATTAACAGTCATATTGTCTTCCAATTTTTTGATTTCGGTAATAGACACATCAGAATGCTTTGCTTCTATGACCTTCGGATGAATTCGTGAAAACATTGAGATATATGCCGTAGAAAAGATGTTTGCTGCTCCAAAACAACAATTTCTAAATATTTTAATTCTTACTGTGTAAGACATAAATTTTATATATATAAATAATTTAAAAAAAAATACATAATCTGACATTATACTTACGATATAATAGCGAATAGACCAGCCAATAAATATAATTCTGTAGAAATTTTTTAAGAAAGGTTCATAAGCAGACACTCAATTATCATTATTTAGAATGAAATACGTACGAGGATTAATAATAATTATGAACAAAATTGTCGCAATGGCACCTATACAGCCATAAACCAAGGAGAATCTTTTTTGCAAATCTAAAATCAATATATAATTTGTTAATTCTTGAATGATTATTTGGTCTGGAGCAAATCGAAGGACTCTACAATTCTAAGTAATAAAGATAAATCATATACAAAAATAAAAATGTAATGAAATAAATTTATTCAGGACTTATAAAAGTTTCTACTTCTTAGTCATTTAAAGTATAATTTAAATAAACTTACTTCCATGATCAGCTAAAGAACCACAACTAATGAATAAGATTACTTGTATAAATACTGAGATTGAAATTATATATAACGAATATGATTCGGTACTGATAAATCCCGGGCCAAAACGTACGATACAATTATAATCTGCAACTGTCTGTTATCTAATTAATCAATTAGAATGCTAATTATAAAGAACTGCACAGATAATAGTGAATACTTGCCGTGTTGCATGGTGTCACTTTGTCAAGCTCGTATCCAGCCCGACCAGCAAGATTCTCAAGGAATAAAGGAATGAGTACTACAGTAATATATATAAAGTTAATAAGATAATATTCTTATGAATCTAATCTTGGATAGAAAAAAATTCACCTCCTATTGGAGCACCGCTATAAATCCCGTTCTACAAATAATTAAATTGGTTTATTGCCACAAATAAATAAATAAAATTTATAAAAAAACCTACAGCTGCACAAAGAATATACCATCCTACTATTTCTCTTTTAGTTACGGGTATTAACTCATCTTTGGCTGTACTGGTATTGATTTCTTCATTTGAATTTTCCAAACTCATTATATTACGCTTTAACAAAAAGGCGATTGATAGATCATTTTATATGGTGACTGATAGATCATTTTATATTAAAACTTAATGAGCCTATCTTATGATGGCACGTTAAACCCTAAATGCATACTTGAACTAGTTTTATACCGGTGCGGTGGCATATAAAATTACTGCCTAAAAAAATCACGTGATTGATGATCGTAAATCATCAAATAAGTTAATTTTTTTAAAACTTTGAGCGAAGGTTTCTCAAAAACCATCTAACCAATTTTGATAAATTTCTTATTGAATTCTACAAATATGTATAATTCAAATAAAATAAAATAAAAATTGATCGAAATCGGTTAGGTGGGTGTCGAGAAACCTTTTCTCAAAGTTTTAAAAAATTTATTCCATCTATAAACAAAATTATTCTTTAATTTTTTTTAAAACTTTGAACGAAGATTTCTCAATAACCCCTAACTAATTTTGATGAATTTTTTTTAATTTAAATTCTACAAATATGTAGAATTCGAATAAAAAAAATTTCATCAAAATTGGTTAGATGGTTGTTGAGAAACTTTCATTCAAAATCAAAGCAAATCTATTCTGCCTATAAACAATAAAGTTGTATTTTAATTTTTTTAAGGTTTCTCAAAACCACTTAACCAGTTTTGATAAAAATTTTTTTATTTGAATTCTATATATTTGTAGAATTCAAATAAAAAAAATTATAAAATTAGTTAGGTAGTTGTTGAGAAAGTTTTACTTAAAACAAAATTTATTTTGTTTATAAACAATATTATTATTTAATTTTTTTTAAACTTTGAACAAAGGTTCTCAATTACTATTTGATCAATTTTAATAAAATTTTTTTTATTCAAATTTTAAATATTGTAAAATTCAAATAATAAAAAATTCATTAAAATTACTTTAATGAATATCAAGAAATTTTTAGTTAAAGTTTTAAAAAAATTAAAGAACAATTTTATTGTTTATAGAAAAAAAGATTTTTTTGATTTTGAGTAAAAGTTTTTCAATAATTACTTAACTAATTTTAATAAAATTTTTTTTATTCAAATTCTTTATATTTGTAGAATTCAAATAAAAAAAATCATTAAAATCAGTTAAGTAGTTATTAAGAAATCTTTGTTTAAAATTTTTTATTATTATTATAAAATAGGTTTTAGCATTTTACTTAATTATTATACTTTTATATTATAATATATAGTTAGATTTAGTTA